TTTTTCCTTGATCCGATCCGTGATCCGGTCCGTGATCCGATCTGTGATCCGGTCCGGTACGATCCAGGTTTTGTCAATGCCGAAAGTCTCCTACATGTCGATTTGGATTAATTACCATATTTAATTATAATAGGCCTTATGACAGTTTCAGACACCATCTTGACGGATAGACAAAGTCTTCAGAAATAACAGGGTTTAAGCAGGGACCCTGATGTCAAATAACTTGTAAAAACCTTGCATGTCAAAAAATTTATTCCCATGGATCTGCGGGAAAAATTACAGACAAATGTACGAGAAATTAAAAATGCCACTTGGAGAATTTTAGAACAGGTAGGAACCTCAGTTTCACATTAAAATCCTTTGGCTAGTAACTTCACTTTCCAGATATAAATTTTTCGACATTCAAGGTTTTTACAAGTTATTTGACATCGGTGTCCCTGCATAAACACTGCTATTTCGAAAGCCTTTGCCTACCCGTCAAAATGGCGTCTGAAACCGTGATAATGCGTATTATATTTTATTTAGGGAACGTCCTTGATCGGGATAACCTCGTTCGTTTCCTTTTATGCATCTCTTCCACAATAAACTTATGATTTGATTTGAGTGAAATCACTTTCATCACTGCGCTTGTCTGCTATCAACACTAAACAGAAGTGGTCGCTCACAACAGGAGATCCCAAAAGAAGATCCACAAGCACCCTATTCACGAGCTACTTTCGACAACCTCAGGTGCATTAAGGACAAGTTCATGGGCTATCGAGACAAACTCACATGCCACCGCTCATGTCACCCACATTTGAAAATTCCCATACATCTCGGACAACCGAAGATTCTCCGCGCAATTTCCGAAACATCATTTGCCACTTGGAAGCCCGAGGGAAGGCCAATATGGCGGCTTGTTTACACTTTAAAGTGCCAAGAAAGTTTAGGGAGCGGAGTCGAATTCTCCGAATGTCTCAGCAGTTATTTGCCGTGTTTCCATCTAGATCTTAATAGTAAGAGTAAAGTTTCGCCAATTTAACCTCAAAATTTCCTTTTCGATCAGTCGAAAATGCGAGTACCAAGGAGTAAATAGGTCTTTTCTGGTTTTCAAACAGATCGACATTTTACCGATACGATCCGGTGTGTATCTCTGATACAGTTCTAAATTCACCTCGAAAACAACAACTTACCGGGTTCCGTGAAGTGAATTCCATGAAATGAATTCCTCGCACTCAACAATATTCAAAGGACTGTCAATGAATTGAGGAAGATCTCCTTAGCTCGTTGCCATCGTAGTGTCGTGGTGTCGTCACCTACTCAGGAGAGGCAGCCAATGTCGGTCAGTAGTACCAGGGCGTTTATACGCGTTGCACTTTCGTCCTGCGTGGCAGACATGTCTAACACCTTTTGACCAATTGTATGTGTTGT